TGACATAAATTCATGAAATAGTAGTTCAATAAACTTTTGAATGTGAGTCAACAAACAAGATGACATGGCCTTTCACCTATAACCAGTATAGAAAGGGTTAATAGGCTTGTTTAACTTCTTTTTTCAGGTTTTGTCTCATTACTAATACACAAATAAACATGGCAATGTATCACTTGGAGAGCAGTTTGAGTCGTGTTATGTGCAGTAAAGGGTACCTGAGGAGAGAGGGTTAATTGAACTACTTCAGTAGCCTCTGAATAGGACAACCTTTTATTGTTGCCTGGCTCAGTTCTTTTCTTGTTTTTGAACTCACACAGCTCATATAATTTCATCAACTCTATCAAAGCCAGTTTGTCACATGCATAATATAACATTATACTCACTAGTACTACCACTAAGCTTATTCTATCATCACTGAATTAGTTATTTTCCATTTATCTAACCTCAGTCCTTCTGCTTTAGCTTGTGAACTATCTACATGCTGTCAAAATTCCTTGATACTTAACTTAGGAGGCATATTTTTAGTTTCTTCTGATATACTTTTCAGTTCTTTAATATCTGCCTCTATATTTATACTATGAATTAATAGTGATTCTTTCTTAGTTAATAATTCTTGCAAATCTGGGATTTTCACATTTAACTGAGTTCCCGTATATTTACTTTCACTCCTAAAACTTGAGGATAAGGTGATACCTTTGCCATGTTCTGAACAATTTCTAGCTAGTCTCAGGTATCCACTATCTTTTAGTTTAACTGCTCTCCTGTCTGATAATCAAATTGATGCACATTTGATTTAGGGCATACCACTGATAAAGTAAGTTCATCTTTTACATTAAATAACCAAGCCCCTGGGGTCTTTGTCTGATAAAAAATAGAATGGTTTAGGGATAATCATTCTTTTTTCACACAACTCAGCTATTCTATTTTTATTTCCTGCAAATATTACATAATTACAAGTTACAACATGTACTGAATAAATTCCTGAATTAGGGTCACACACTCTGATAGGTCCCTTTGTACATCTTAATATGTCTTCCTCTGTCATTCTAAGCAAGTATGATGGTCTCTGGAAACAGCAATGTATGGATTTTCATTCTCTATAGTTAAAGCCAAAGAATGATTTAATGGTAAGGGTACAATTCTATATAGTTTAGACACTCTATTGGTCGCTTTCAAAGGTGTCCCTAACTGCAGTGGTCTTTACAATCAGCCCATGTATAATACATGTAAATCTGGTTAATAAGGGTGGAAAGTACAAACTGTAAATGCTGGGGTAGGAAGTATGAACTCAACTTTCTATCTGCTGCTACATACAATGCTTATACTAATGTAGTTAACTTTGTCCTGCTACTTCCTACAGTAAAATATAGTTGTTATAAATTATTTGGAATCCTAGTGTTAAAAACTAACATTTCAACTTCTGCTTTGTGAAGTTCAATCTGTCTTACTCTGGTATGTATCAATGCATTAATAATATTTACTATTGCATTAGATACTTTCCTAATCTCTTGATCATGAAATTCAAATGTCTGATTTAATTAATTCATTATAGTTGCCTGTTCACCTATCAAATGAATCATTCCTCTAGTTATCTGTCTCTGCTGCTCTAACGTCTTGTTTGATTCCTGTAAACTTTTGGTGGTCGTGGTTCCGAATAAGAATTTCGAAACACTTCCACCCTCATTTATTAAACCACATTTTTGTTGAGTTCTGTCTGATATCAACATGTTATCTTTAATGTCCTTTAATTCTAATAACAAATCACCTATCTCATCATGATACCGTCTAACTAATGTTTTGTAATTTTCAGTTAACCTTTCTTGTAAGATCCTTGCTAACTGTAAGATGACTGTTTCCTGATATTTAATATGATATAACGTCATGTTTTCTGAACTTCCTGCATCAAAACTAACATGAGTATTCACATCAAACAAAATCTCAAATGTTACTAGTTCTGCTGATAAATGGACTAATAACCGAACATACTGTGGAAATTGTATGTCTTTAACAATTATCTATTTATCTGTGGATAACATGAAATTTTCTTCTTCAA